AAATATATTTCTTCACATATATTTTGTGAAGCAAAATAATGTAAGGAGTCATCTTCAGTAGAAGTGCACTGAGTTAATATACCAAAATATTTGTTCACAGGCCTGTAAGCATGCATGCAGTTTTGAATTGCTTTATGAGGGGAGTGAGAAGAGAGGAGGGAAAGGGGAAGGGAAAGATGACATGAGACATAGGCAGCATAAAAATATGATCCATTTCCTGCTCAGAGAGTTACAAGGAAGACACAATCAGCTTTTTCAACTAGAAAAGGTAAACTGTGAGAGAGCTACATAAGCAGTACAAACAGTGTGACAGTTATGTGGTAACCCACAGTTGAAGGCCAAGGGCTTCACATTCCTTTTCTGACTTCAAGCGTAATAAAGCATAATTCCCTCTGTAGAGGAAAAATGGAAAGGGGAAAGAGACAAAAAGCTTCCATACTATGTAGGTAAAGAACACCTGAGAATTCACATTACCTATGAATTGATCATTTGACTGAACATTTTTCTACTATTTTACCACAAACGCATCTATAGACAATACACACATGAATAAGCAAGTTTTGTTCCAACAATTTACAGAAACAGGGCTATTTGGCCCATAGTTTGCTGACCCGAATTTAATTTACACATTTTTGAAAAAAAAAAAAAGTATGAATCCAGCAGACAATTATAGGGGAAACCACTATTTTAAAACTCAAAAATTCAAATATATAAAAGTGAATTTAGAAAAAAGTCTAGAGGTGGGAAGGCAAGACATATCTGAAATTGTTTCTTTTTATTTATAGATATTAAAGCAGTAGCATAGGCTGGGCACGGTGGCTCATGCCTGTAATCCCAGCACTTCAAGAGGCCAAGGCAGGTAGTTCACTTGAGTCCAAGAGTTTGAGACCAGCCTGGACAACATGGTGAAACTCTATCTCTACAAAAAAAAAAAAAAAAAAAATTAGCTAGGCATGGTGGCACACACTCCTGTATTCCCAGCTACTAGGAAGGCTGAAGTAGGAGGATGACCCGAGCCCAGGAGGTCAGGGCTGCAGTGAGCTGTGATGTCACCACTGCACTCCAGCCTGGGGAACAGACACACAGTCTCAAAAAAAAAAGGGAACACCACAGTAGGATACATATCTTTGTGATCTTCTTACTATACTAAAAGTGATTGAGGTTTTTCTTCCTTTATTCAATGAAAATCTAAAACCTAAAGTGATCACTGATTAAATCTTAATCATAGAGGATTAAAATTAACCTCCTTCATAGTTCACAGTTCTCATAACAATACTTCTCATCCTACGAAAGTACATGATATTAATAAGGATACATCCTACAACATTTTTACTTTTCTAATCCCTAAAAATCTTAATGGGATGGGGTAGTCCCCCAAAGTAGAGTATATAAAAGGGTAAAATTGATTAGAAATATTAATACAAGGATATTATCTGATATCTCTCTTTCAGCAGTATCTAAAATTGAGTAATTATAAAATATGATTATAAAAGTAGGTAATGACAAAATATTTACTTTTAGATTGTGAAAACACTACCTGAACAAGATTTTAGATTTTGTCCTTATACTTGTATAAGCCTGCAAACCTGTATCACCAGTAGCATCCTATTCTAACACCTTTTAACGTAAAAAAATCTACCAGTAAAAATCTATTAAATATCCATTCCTTGTATCTGGCAATACATAAATACCCTTACATTCTGATAGAAAAATAGTATTCGACATAGAATTACTGATGTGATACAATGAATTGTGTCCTGTTTTAACACGTCTGAACATTGCATGTGGTCTCCTAAGCAGTCAATTTGGAAATAATGTAGTATTACTGGCTGGGCACGGTGGCTCATGCCTGTAATCCCAGCACTTTGGGAGGCCAAGATGGGAGGACTGCCTGAGCCCAAGAATTTGTGACCAGCCTGGACAACATGGCAAGACCCTTGTCTCTATTTAAATAAATACATACTATTATTTAAAAATGTAATTTTGGTTCTATATTTCTTCATACCTACTAAATATACTTTTAAGTATTCCAATAATTTTTTATTGAGAATATGTTTGGGTATTTTAGAAAAAGCTAAAAGTTATCCTGTGGTCTACCCACAGAACTTATAGAGGATAATAAAAAGAAAAAGAGAGTTTGATATACTGATATTGCAATAATCTGAAAAAAACCTAAAACCTTAGGGTTTGCACTGACTATAGAAAATCCTTTCTGTAGATTTTGTAGAATGTCATGTGTTCATTGCCTTTGTGTAGTGGTATATTGTGGTATATATCTGCGTGTAAAATGAATACTTGGATTTCATTACAGCATTCATATAAAATATTAATGATATAAAAAAGGAAATCTTGTGGCTACTAAGAGGTCCTTGAAACTTGAAACTAGTTTTTAAGAATTATTCTATAAAAGTCATAGTACGAAATAAATTCAAATTTTAAAAAAAGCTCACAATGTAAATTTAACACTTTCAAACTTTATTAGTTCAGTCAAAGCAATACAAAGTTATACGGAACTAAATTAATCTAGAAAGTAGATTTTTATATCATGCAAGATAAGGAGAAGCCCAGATTAAATAAATAAAATTGCTGTTATTTACACGGCTAACTTCCTGCTTTGAAAACAATCCCATACATAAATTTCTTTTTTGGAGCAAGGTAACTTTGTGATTGTTCTATCTTTACCCAAAATTCACCCCCATTTGGAAAACTGGAGGCTAAAAGCAATCATAATTAACCAGTTAAAAAACACTTATGTCCATCTTATTAGCAACACTAAGTAGACGGAGGAAACTTTAAAATAGACCAAATTTATAGCACTAAGTAAATCTAATTGTAATTTAAACATTATCTTATTTTAGGAAAAAGCGAAGGGAATCAAACGCTAGGGGGCAGCATCAAACTGTTGTGGGTTAGGCTGGGCAGCCTTGCAAACTTTAAGCTTTAGGGCATTTTTAATGAGAACTACACTTACATGAAAGATGAATTAATAAAACTTCTGTTATAAAGGAAAAAACTAGTTTTGTTTTGATTGCCTACATTTCTCTTCCATTTTCCATTGTGTACTTACTTTTGCAACTATGACTGGTGAGTATCACTTTAAAATGCACTAGTAATAACGTCCTTCTGATACAAAACTCATGGTATTTCCAATACTGCGGTAAGCACTATATAAATACAAGCTGACATTTTTAGCCTAACCATAATGGTGAATTTAAGTTTTGATTCACTCAATTAGCATTTTAAACTTAAAGAGCATGACAAATTCTGCATATTCATGTGTCATAAGCAGAATATGACAAAAAAACTGTGCAGTATGTACTCCCTCAAGAAATTTAGTTTGGCAGGGAAAACAAGATGCACAGGTTATTATAAATTAGAAAATGGAAGAGAAGCAGAAATAAATCCATGAGTATTATATATAAGCAACAGAGCAAAAACAACAGGATAACTGTATCCCCGCCCCCGCCCCCCCCCCCCACAAAGGCCCAGTAGAGACCATCAAAGCTCATTCTGGAGGTAGTCAAGGAGGGGGTGGAGGAAGAAAAGGAACACAGTGCTTCAACCACTAATGAAAGAACTGAAACGTCTGTATGTAGAAAAAAGGTAAAATCAATTCACTATCATCTTCAGCCTTTTGGTTATCTCATTTAATGGTCACAATTAAGTGTGTGAGTAGGGTTTTTGTACTTGAAGTTCAAACAGAAAATTAAGATTAGCAACTTCCTCAAGGTAAGCCAACTAATTAATAGATCATGGTTTTGAACCTTTAAAATTTAACTCCAAAGCCTTCAATTTTTTCCAGTATCGGTCAACACTGAGGGTAGAAGGGTTGGGTGAACAGAGTATTAACAAGGTAAATTTCTCTAATCAGAAACAAATGATCCCAGATGCTGAATTATCCTTGCTATAATACTACATCCTATCTTCTCCAAAAATCACTTTTGAAAAAAGGCACACCCCCTAATTAGTACTTGCATACTACACTTGAGGCCTACTCAAAGTACTTCAAATCAGGTGCTCAAAAAAAGGGAAGGACCGTGTTAGCTTTCAAGCGGTTAGAATTTAAATTGGTAACAGTAAGAACTAGTATAGGTTATCATGCAATATATTATTGATGTCATTTCCTATGAGGTCTTCCCTAACCACTCCTTTTGAAGTAGCACCAAAGTCATTCTTGCACAGGGGTTCTTATCCAGGGGTATATGTACAGAACGCAGAATGTTTGTGAATGTGATCAGGAAAAAAAAAAAAAAGATTTATTTTTTTTTATAAAAGATTCAAAAAATTTAATCTCTTCAGTTACGAATGCAGGCAAAAATTACAGCGATGTGAAATACCTGATAGGAATTTTAGATTAAATTTAAGCTAAACTCTTTAAAGATCATTTACAGTCCTCGCTAATGCTTTACTGACACATAGATGTCATATTTAATATCTTCATTAAGTATTTCATTCCAACTGGTTTTTGTTGCAATTCTATGTATTTCATACATTTAAAACCATCATTCTGTGGTTCATCACACAAAAAAGTTAAAAATCCCTACCAGCACATCGTTGTTTTATTTTCTTCACAGCACTTATCACTGATATTATGTATCTGTTTCCAGTAAGGAGCCACTGGAGTAACCAGTGTCTGTAGAATGTGCGTTGTCTGGCATGGATCCCCAAGATCTAGAAAAAGTAACTAACTCATATTAAGGTTCTCAAATATTTGTACAAGAGTCCTAATATAAAACAATACACAGGAGTCTCGAGTTGAGGCTTTCAATTGCATACTAAGTTAGAAGGAACTAAATTCTACATCTCCAGCTTTTCCATTACTTGCTTGTTCTTAATTATGTACAATTTAGATACATATCGAAAAAGAAAACACAAAGGAAATGTAAATCTATTACACTCTAGTTTTGCTCCAAGAATGACTCAGTTCCAATGTGAAATTAGAGGACTTAACAGCAAAAAGCATAAATAAAAGTTTTTTTAAAAAAACCAGTATAACCTACCATCCTTTTTGCTTTTTTCTAACATGTGTTTTGTGTCACTGTCATTTAGAATAGGTACTCGAGAGAACGACCCTTCCAACGGAGGGCTTCAGATTCTGCAGTGATATTTCTTCCTCGTGCCAGATCCTTAGTACAGCCCATGTGGACAAGCTCCCACGTGAACATTTCTTTACAGAAGCCACAGGAAAACCTTGAACGTCATATCGCTCCTGCCCTGGCAAGGCCCCCCGCCCTTCTTAGCTAGGGCGTTCGGGGGACCCCAAGAGAGGCAAGGAGTTCAGCAGATTTCCAGACCCGGAGAGGCTGTGCACGAAGGTTCCTCTACACGCTCCCTCTGCCGCGCCCCACATTGCTCTCCACCTAAGGGCTTTCCGGAACAAAGCCGAGCTGCCGCGCCACCTCCGGCCCACCCGGCCTGTCCCACCGACCCGGCCCCACCCTTGCCCTCAGCTCCAGGGACCCCCAACAGGCCGAGATCTTCACTACCCCGCGCTCCGCCTCGGCTTTTCGGTTGGTCCGGGAGAAAACTAGTAGGAGCAGAGGCGCCGCCGCCCGTTAGCCTCGGTCCGGAACAGCGGCGCCGAGGCTCCATCCCGGGGTCCCCTGGCCCCATTATACACCAGAGAGGACGACTAGACAGGAAGAAACCGGGTCGCTTGGTCGCCAAGCCCCCGAAGACCTGCCCGCCCGCGCCGGCGACGCCATCCGCGGCCGGCGCGCAGCCCCCTAACCGCCGCCGCCCGCCCAGCGGTCACTCCCCCACCCCGGGCGCGGCCCGCGAGGCTCAGCCAACCTCCACAGGAGGGTGAGGGGGGCGCGAGGCTCCGCACGCGGAGCGGACGCCGCCGGCTCCCGATCCCGCGGCCCGCAGCAGCCCAGACCGCACACGAGGAGCCGAGACGCCCAACACGCTGCCCACCACGCGCTCTGCTTCGGCTCGCTGCCGCCGACTGCAGCAGCCGCGGAACCCCAGCGCCCGCATCCCCGAGGGACCCAGCCCCGACTCCCCGGTTCTGTTCTCCCTTTCTACCCCCGCGCCGTCCCGGGACTCGCAGTCTCCGCCGCGCACGGGGCCGGTTCTGGGGGAGGGAATGTAAACAAATCGGGGTTTTATAGTTACCTCACACTCGAGTGCCGTGTGCATCTCCTCTCCGCTCGGTACCAAACCCCGGCTGCACCAAATCGTGTATTCACCAAAGCCGACTGCGCTAACTGCGTCGCAGAAACCCGCGCGTCAGACACCCTGCTACGCTAGCGGCGTACAAGGGCCACTCAGCTCCCTGCGCAGCCGCACCCCGTCCGCCTATGGGTGCTACGCTATGGGCGTACACGCGCCACCTAGCTATTCACTTCGGATAACGCCAGTTGCGTAAAGGAGCCGCACTACTCACGGATTCCACACGGATCGTCCGAGCAATAGGAAATTCAAGTATACGCAAACTGCGGAGTTCCGTGTCTCCGCGCTAGTTTTGTTCCAAGAAAGAACGCCGCGGGGGAGTTGGGGCAGCTTCTTAACGCATGCGTGGAGCGCCCTTTATCATTCGCCTTTTCTCCTGGCTTTAGAACGTCGGTTGCTGAGGCCTTGGGCGAGTCGGATGAGTAATGGAAGCTCTAAACCCAAATGCTGTAGCCAAAAAGCTTCAGAGTGAGCATCTGGAATGTTCATCTGTATACGAGTTAAACATCTACGTTAAGTTAATCCCGCCCCCTTTGTTAAAGAAACCTTTTCAATCTCTTAGGGCGACAGCGAACTTTATTTAGTGCTAAGTGCGAGGTGTTTTGCCTAGCTCCCCTCCCACCCATTTAATTCTAGACCACACTTACTGCGGGTCTTCCAAGCCAGAAAGAAAGAGTTGAGTCCTGAGAACATGTCACGCATTTAGACAAATTCTCGAGGCTTCTGGTAACTTTCCAAGGTCTTCACCCCTCTACTCCTCAATTGATTTATTATTTCTTAACACTCTATGAGAAAAGAAATCCCGATCTGGCCAAGCAGTTCCATGGACTTGTGCCTACACCGTGCTCATTCTTGCCCTTTGCTCCCACCATACCTCTCATCTAAATTGTCTCCTCCCCTCTTAAGCAACCACCAACCCACATTTTCTTAAAAGGTGACTCTGGACATCTTTTGCTTCATTACTCTGCTTCCTGGCTCTTAATCCACATGTTGAGGCTTATCTGCATTCCGCCTGGGGTGCCTGGGTTTCTATATCCAACCAGAATCTACTTAATAGAGCGAGTTATGGGGGTGCCTTACTGGTGTCTAGTAGAGAACATAAAACCATGAACAGCAGTAATCGCAGGCTTCACTATGTGTCAAGTACTCCCCAAGTGTTTTACATATATATAAATTTAATCCCCATAATACGGTGAGGTAGGAAACTGAGGCACACAAATCTTTAACTTGCCTGGTATCACAGAGCAGGTAGAGAAAAGAGTTGTGATTTCCAAACCCATTCAGTATGGACGGCTAGGTAGTCCCGCTAACCTGCATATTATACCTTCATGAAAGATTATTTTTTGTTTTGTATCTCTACAAAAAATATCAAAACAACGAAAATTGTGCTTAATAAATGCCTACTGATTGCCATGCGTAGTTCAGAACACTGAACTACTCATATGCCCTTTTCCTTGTTTCAAAGCCAGGGCATGAACCTCACTTCTGCTTACAAAGGGAGAAGTGCTGACGTGTGGAGGAAAGAGATTAAGCCTGAGTCCTAGTTTCAAGTCTCACCATTGCCACTAAATGTGAGACAACGGCTGTGGTCCTCAGATTCATTGATAGATTAAGGGGATTGTTTTAAATATATTCTAAGGTTCATCCTAGAACTAAAGTCCTTAAAGTTCATAAAATCATGATAGTACATCCTTTGTGTGAAAAGTATAAGCAGCTTCCAAATTAGCTTGATAGTTTATGACTCATAATTATTTTATTGAGCACATTATTATCGACACCCTTAAAACATACATAACCTTTCTTTCAAATATCAATAAGATATATCACTTGCATTCCTTATATTTTAGGGCACCTACACTGCTTTTTTAGTTATGGATATACAAGGATAATGTTCAGCTGGTACACACAAGTACGGCTGAACCAACTAATCAAATACTGAAATACTTCCATGCAAGTTGATTCACAGCTGCAACTCTGAGTGGTATACCCCCATGCTTCTCACCCCTATGCCAGTCCTTCCTCTCAAGATTCCCCAGACCTCCACATTTTAGGAACTAGTGGGTTAATACCTGGCTAAGATAGAGCCCTTAGGACCCAGCTCTTATTAGTCACTCCCGTTTTAATTGGTTGGTGCCTATTCTTTACTAATTGTTACACATTTTAAATATCATCCCTATAGAAAACTATGTGGTGAGCAACTTGAAAATAGATACTATGTTTCCTAACACTTTTTAAACTCACCCAAACATGTATATACCTTCAAGTGTATACCCACTGATTCGGGCAGATTTTCAAGCAAAATTATCAGATAGAATAAATGATTAATCTGCATACTAGCATATTACTTTTCCTACTGAGAAAAGGAATCTCAGAAAATGACTTGCAGGCTTACCCAAAATCACCTGCTGAGTCAAATAATGGACACTACAGCAACAATATCACTATACGAATTTCGTTTTATTTTTACCAGTTTTATATACAAGTAATATGTTAGGGTAAAGAATTTCTAATATGTTAGAATCATAAAACTTTCTCAAAGTGTAAGACATTTTCTTTTTCCAGTCACCTCACTTGATTCATAAAGAGGCTCATCTGAACTATAAAAATAGTATAAATGATTTTCAGTACTGGGGGAAAAGCGCGGTACTGAATTATGTGTAAATGGTTTACCTTTCATTCTTTAGCTTATTCATACTGCTTCAGCCACAATATTAGTTCACATATGTAAAATTTCAAATGTGACAGTCTACATTTGTGAGACATGATATAGTAAATCCAAGGGTCTTTTTGCCCCTCAGAGGATTTGAAAAGAACCAACTATTAATACAAAAGAGGAAATAAGAAAACATACTTCATACCCCAATCTTTAGTAGTGGCTAAAGAAAGTCCATGTCATAAACCTGGGTTTCCCTCTTACAGAGGAGAAAATAGTCATCATACAAACAAAGTTAAGAGTCTTTAATGAAATCTATGAAGAACATGACTAATTCTAAGAAATCAGGCCTTTCAAACTCACTTGTTCTTTCTGTGATTCAAGATTAGTAATAACCAATGATAAAGACCCCTTCTTAAATTCATCTCGTGTTTAAACTATTAGTTTTACATGGCCAAAAAGTTTACTTTAGACAAAGCTATGCCTAGAGAGGCTATGAACCAAAAATAAAATTTTAAGCCTCCCAACTAACTGAATGGTCACCTCTTCTTTGCCAAAGGCATTCCAAAGTCAGCCTGAAACACTAGTACCGGGCATGATGGGAATGGATGGTTGAACATGCCTCATTATATTCTCCTCACTTTAAAATTCAGGCTGGGTGTGGTGGCTCACACCTGTAATCCCAGCACTTATGGTGGCCAAGGCAGGTGGATCACCTGAGGTCAGGAGTTTAAGACCAGCTGGCCAACATGGCAAAACCCCATCTCTACTCAAAATACAAAAATTAGCCAGGTGTGGTGGTGGGCACCTGTAATCCCAGCTACACGGGAGGTTGAGGCAGGTAGACTTGCTTGAACCCAGGAGGCAGAGGTTGCAGTAAGCCAAGATTGTGCCACTCTACTCCAGCCTGGGCAACAGAGGAAGACTCCATCTCAAAAAAAAATTCAGGCACAGATGACCAGCATTAACAAGAAAACAGACCTTAGGACTGAGGAAAGAGATTGTAGCAATAAGATACCAACTTGACAGATAGCAGGCTCTGAAAGAATTCAAAGTACTTTTTCTCCAAAATATATTTCTTTGACATGTTTTGAAATGGCCTTGCAAACTGTCTCTTGTGGGGAACATCTACATTCTGTAGAGCAGCAGTCCCCAACTTTTTTGGCACCAGAGACTGGTTTCCTGGAAGACAGTTTTTCCACAGATGGGGGTGGCTGGGGACGGTTTTGGGATGAAACTGTTCCACCTCAGATTATCAGGCATTAGTTAGATTCTCATAAGGACTGCACAACCTAGATCCCTCACATACACAGTTCACCATAGGGTTTGCACTCCTATGAGAATCTAATGCCACCGTTGATCTGACAGGAGGTGGAACTCAGGCAGTAATGCTCACTGCCTGACACTCACCTCCTGCTTTGTGGCCCCGTTCCTAACAGGCCATGCACCCGAAACAGTCTAGGGGTTGGGGGACCCCTGCTGTAGAGAATCTCCTTCCCTTTCCAAGTCTCTTCCCTGATCCAGGAGAGAATTAACTAAGAGTCTGGCATCTTTTAAAGTCTGATAAAAAACATTTACCATTTATTCTCTCTGAAGCCTGCTACCTGGAGGCTTCATCTACATAGTAAGAACCTTGGTCTCCATAACTCATTATCCGTTTTTAAAAATATTCCTTTTTTTTTTCTTTTCTTAAGACGAGTCTCACTCTGTTGCCCAGGCCGGAGTGCAGTGGCGAGATCTCGGCTCACTGCAACCTCTGCCTTCCCAGGCTCAGGCGATTTTCCTGCCTCAGCCTCCCGAGTAGCTGGGATTACAGGCACCCACCACCACTCCCAGCTAGTTTTTGTATTTTGGGGGAGAGACAGGTTTTCTCCATGTTGGCCAGGCTGTTTTCAAACTCCTGACCTCAGGTGATCCACCTGCCTCGGCCTCCCAAAGTGCTGGTATTACAAGTATAAGCCACCATGCCTGGGCTAAATTTTATTTCTTTTCTGACTGCTTATCCCTAAGTTATACATGGCCCCTTATCTTAACCCAAACACTTCCTCCTATTGATTCCAGGTCTTTAGATAAACTATTTCAACCAACTGCCAATCGGAAAATTTTCAAATCCACCTATGACCTGGAACCAGCTCCTGCTTCCAGTTGTCCCACTTTTCTGGGCCAAACCAATGTACATCGTACATATATTATGTCTTATGTGTCCCTAAAATGTATAAAACCAAGCTGTTGCTCAACTACCACCTTGGGCACATATTCT